GGGTGTACCAGCCACGGTCGTTATTATCTTCAGGGTTAACCAAAACCCTCTTACTTCTTGCAGTTAAGGTAAAAACACCATTGCGGAATAGCTTGGGGTGATAAAGATGAATTAGATGAGGAAAAGTAAAGTCGACATCAGCTTTGGTTGACATATACCTCAAACAAGCTACTACTCTCCATACGAGGGGACCAACTTGAGCCAGACAAATTTTGAAAAAACGACAGAAATCAAGAATGACAGGGTCAATAGCAGGAATAAATCCCAAAGTAAAGGGATAAGTGTAAACGAAAGAAAAGCCAATCCTATAAGAAGATATTCTTTGATGTGGAGAAGGAATAACTATTTGGGTGTCACCTCTCCAACGACAATCTCTTCGAATAATTTGAATCAAAGGTTCAGTAATTAAAGAGGGATATTTATCAGCTCTCTCTAATTTAATCACTTGGTCACGAAGGGATTCTTTGTCATGTTCGAAAGATAAATCCGTTGGCACAATCTCTTCAACCAGAGGCTCTTGGTTAGACTCAGAAGATTCTTTGCCCTTAGAAGAAGATTTGTTAGAAAGAGAGCCTCTAGAGATGTTGCCAGAACTAGAAGGAGGAATGATGGAACTAGAGGTGCCACCACGAACCGACCCAGTACCACGAAGCACACCTCCTCTACCTCTTCTATATCTAGCAGGAGCATTGGGGAAACTATCAAGAATGGGACTCTTTTAGGGTTAGGATCCGAAGACGACATAGTGAGAAGATATAAACAGAAGGTATGAACTGAAGAAGAAGTGAACAAGAGTAAATAGCAAGAAATTTGGTAAAGTAAATAGCAAGAAATTTGGTAAAAAGCTTGTGAAGAAGAAGACAAAGGAAAGAGGGGGCAAGTTTATATATAAACTCAACCGTCGATAATTAAGAAGTGTAATGATGGAAAGCCTATAATAAAGGCAACTATCACTTCGTGAATAGTGGAGTTAAAAAAGCCTTAGAAAAAGGTTGCAAAATCGCAGAACTAATGAGAAGGTGACACGTATATGGTGCATTAAATAGAAGAGACAATTGAAGCGTCGACATTGTCATAGCATTGATTATGGCAAAAATTCCCTTTTTAATGAAGATCCACTTCCCAAATATTTAATTGATAAATAAATGAAAAGTGGGGGGACTATCTGTATTGGGAAAAAAACTGAATTTATATTGAAGTTGACGTGGCATGACACGTGGACTGGTCAAATGGTCAAAACATGATGATCAATTGAGGGGCACGGGCGATATCAGATACGAAGAGAAGAGAGTTAAATAGGCACGAGATGCTATTCAAATGATACGAGTCTCGTATCTATTTAACTTAATTAAAGTCAGGAGGTCAGAAGGAATTGAAGATATGAATCTGATAGCATAAAGGAGTCTAAATTCAGTATTAAATGTCAAATACGTTAACGAATCAGCATTGAATAGGAATGATTGTGTAACGTTTCATTTAATGTCATTTAATGCTCATAATTGCCTCTTTAAGACTGAGACATTATACCTTTTCCTAAAAAAATCAACTATAAAAGGAGGAGATCTCAGCATTTGTAAGGACACGAAATATCATTAAGATTACATTGGAATACAAACTTATTTACTGCTTTATTATTCTCAAAAATTCCTTATTCTTTTCGTCTCCTGATTATCAGTAACCCGATTTTTTCTCTTCATTTCTAGTTTTAACCGAAATTCTATTTTTTTTGGTTAAACACCACCTACAATGGCAACTTCATCAAGATTGTCCGGGGAATGACCTCCAACTATTCCCATATCAGCAGCCTCCTCATCTTTTTCAATATCAATTACCTTAGGCGTCTTCCCCTCCATATCTCAGTCATTCGACAGCGACGTTAGGTACATGTATTGATCATCTCCACAGCACGCTCGCTATAATCCTCGGCGCTCCTTTTTGGGTTTGAGGAAACCCCAGAAGTTATGTCCCCAATACGGGCAATCACAATGTTGGATGAGGGAAGTGCCCTAGCCACTGACCTCCTTCTCGGTAAACCTGCAAAAAAGCATGTACCCAAGGGTAAGCAAACGGGAACTGGAAAAATCTTTGCTTAAACATGCTTTCATAATCGTTCACCATGGTTCTTCCCCTTCTACCGGTCGAAATAAACGGCCCTCCACATCTAGTCATCCTGTCCAGAAGCTCGTATAATATCCCTCATCCAATCAATGATCTCTAGTATAGGGGCAGGAACAACTATGCTAGTTGCAAGCACGAATCAACGTTACAAAAGATAAGTGACTATGATTGCGAAAAAGGCTAAAATCGGAAGCGGTTGGAAAGTTGGTCGGTGTAGGTAATACATTAGGGTCCTCATGAACCAATCCCACCATCCCCCGGTCATAGTCACGAGTCCCCCACATGATCAGGTGTATCATTCCTCCTTAGAAAAACCGAGGGGAGTAGAGATGAATCTGATGGTCAAGGGTGAAGCTTAATCGGGCTTGATTGAGGGGCAAATTGTGCCAGGCAGACCTAGTTTCGTTGATGAACGCTTCAATAATTTTGGACAGGGAGACCAATGCCTATGATTAAAGGGTAGTAATATCATGGAAAAACACTTAGCGTAATGAGTGATTCATGATTAAAGGGTAGAAATATCATGGAAAAACACTTAGCGTAATGAGTGATTCAGGCCTCGTCACCCACGGAAGAATTTTCAATATCGTCGTCCCAGCCACAATAAAACCTCACTTGAGGAATGTGACCCTCCCCCACTAGGGATTTGTATTATTCTATCGACCTACCCTTGCCTTCGTCTTGGCAGTCGCCTTTGAAATCAAAAGTCTGAGGGCTATCTCGGTAGCAAGATCCTCCCGCTCCATCTCATTAGGAACCTCCTCCATAGATGCCTTCCCTCTCTTACATGCAGAAGGCGCTGAATCGTTTAAATGAGATCTAGGGGGTGAGGATAAGTATTGGAAGGCATCCATAGTTGATTTAGATTTTTGTTAACCAAGAAAGGTCACTCTAAAAATCTCTTCTAAAGAGAATATTAAAACTGTTAGAAAGATAGTGGACTTTTCTTACAAATGATGCTTGTTTAACTAGAGAGATATGAAGTTATTACGATAAGTAAATTGCTCAATGTTCCAGAATTTTCCATGTCGAATCAATGTATTTGATACCATTTAAAGAAAGCAAAGATATAAAAGATGAGAGAAAGATTCAATTTGCTAGCCCTTGGTTGACTGTACTGGGTGAAAATTCCGACATGTTTGGTGGACCAATAAGGATGTGACGCGTGGAATCCTGGGTCCGATCGAAGTTGGGCACTATGTGATATCTCAAGACAACGACGCCGTCTCGGAACGATCAAAGCCATCGTTGACTGGTTGGGTAATGACACTGGGCCCAACTAATCTTTTCCTTTGTTCTTAGCTCCGATGCCAGCTGGTGCACATTCTCACCAACCTTCTAACACTAACTAGCATCGAGCTTTGTGCCTAGCCTTAAACGCTTGTTTTTATAGTCCTTTCTGTACTGTCGAGCGATCTTGTCGCGAAAAGGTTTTGTCTTGTCTTGTATAGTTAGATTCTCAGAGAAGCCAAAGACGAGACATTATGATCCCTCTAAGGCATCATCTAGGACACAACTTGTAACATATCATCTCTCTCTATCTCTCTCTCGAAGAACACTTGCAAGAAATATAATGCTTACCATTGTACTTTCTTTAACCCTCGCCTCGTTGTTCTTTGTTGTTGCTTGTGTCTTTGCTTTCATAAACGTTATACTGATCGCACTATAAAATCAAGGGGTTGGATCCTTCACGATTTACTTGCCTTTAAACCTTCCTTTTTATCAAAATAACTATTAACCATTTTTCTCAGTAAACATTAACTTAACTGCCGAGAAGAAGGATTTCAGTTATACAAATCCTATAATCTCTCTATTTTGAGTTTTAAAAAACATAGCAGATCATAACAACAATTTAAAATACATGGTGATTCTAGGAAAGGAAAATAGGAACAGGATAGAGTTAATCAAATCTTTGCTGGTAACCATCTAGTGGTTCTTATTATCTAAACGGTACATTTGGTGTTGCAGTTAGAGAGAAAGAGTTTGAGAAAATCGTAGCTAAAGAAACAACCGTACTAATATTGTATACGGTAGAAATCGGGGCCACCCAATTTCGTTCTTCGATGGGAAAAGGCCAGGACGCCGAGCTCGAGGACGAAGCTCCTGTCCAATGTCGAGGTCGATGTCATTTATCGAGGTCAGAAGAAGGCATGCTTCGAGATGATACAATTATGATTCAGTAACGGAAAGAGCGATACCAGCAACGGGTCGGAGATCACGGCATAAATTTCGAAATGGATTGGTCTTTGGCGGTTAGACAGCTATCAAATATGATTCCCTACTGTAATCAGAAGTGTACCTTATTTATGACTCCCCTATTATATAAAATGGGATCCCATTCATTTGTAAGGAACGTTTTTTGACTGATAAGAAAATATATGGTCATTATTTAATTGTTATTTCATTCACTATTCATCAGAGTTGCTTCATAATTTGCTATTCCTATCACCATACCTCGAGACTATCACAAGTCGAGGTCAAGATTTGGTTTACATAATGCTTCGATCTATTTCATTCTTTAATTTATCTATTTAATTCCTTGTTTATCAGTTGGCATTGAATTAAATCACGTATCCTTAAAACCACAATACAAGTTTAATTGTTACTCGGATTTTAGGGTATACAAATATCTTCTCATAAAATAGAATAAATGAAGTACTAATATCTTTTAAAGCTACATGACTTAAGTGAACCATGAGAATAATTTCGATTTCGTAGAGCTAATCTTTCCCGTTAACAATTCTTCTTTACATTTGTGGCCTGAATTTGCCTGAATATCTACACATTTGTTTACCTCTTTCCAAATACGTATAACAATGGTCTTGTCTATTATATCTTGCAAATATTTTCAGTTCGTCAATAATAACCCAAAGAGGACGATATTCTATAACTTCTACATTTATAAGTTTGGTATCAGGTAAACACCTCCCAATGTCTTAATGATTTTAGCAAAATCCAACCAGAAAAAAATTCTGAACGGTTGTTAAGACAATTATTTCACAGGGAAACATGGAAATATTTCAAGATAGCTAGACGTGCTATTTCTTAAGGTTGCTACGGTCTAATTTAGATCTTTTCCAACATAGAAAATGAAAAAGACAAAAGTTTCTTGATATGCTGTTATCTCAAAGGTGACCAACTGACCATTGACGATGTGTATATACATCAGGGCCCTTGTCAATGTGAGGGGATTGTATGGGTCAAAATTTGTCTTCAAGACATTTAACGTGAAGTAGTGTTACGAAAAGTAATAAGGCCGAGGTCGACTAGCAAACAGTGGGAGTCATAGCCGAGCAGTCAATAACGATCGAGGTCAAGTATCAAGAGCAATAGTAACGGCTAGTTTTATAATAGGATTTCTAGGAGAATATTCTATTGAATATTCTTTGTATTTGTACTTTTAGGGTTTACTGGGGGTATGACCCATATAAACAGATAGAGAGAGATAAGGTGAGAGGCATGTAATATTCTCTAACAAGAACACTCTTTGAAAAGCAGACTCTCTCTAGAGAAAATAAAAACATTACCTTTCTGAAGAGATTCAATTATCTATTATTCCACACTTTTCAATTCTAGTATTTGTCTATCATTCATCCTTGTCAGAAGAAGGAATCATCCACCTCATTTAACACTGGGTGAATTCTTCTTCTTATTTACTTTAGTGCCATTTATTGCTATTTATTGTTTACTATTCCCTCGTTATTAATCATCTTGAGATATTAAATGCGCACAGCATCAAGCCCCCTATCACCGCTATTCTACACGATTCGTGTTGACCGATTATAGATCCAAAGTAATTATCATAAACTAGGTTTACCCCTCATTATATAAAATTGATTAGTTTAATCAAAGGTTGCGCCGTCCGTGTGGATTTCCTAGCTAAAATTTTAAGTTTCTTTTAGATTTATAACTAGCACGGTTCAAAAAAAAACTCCTACTTCCTTGTACACACAGATCTGACATGGCAGGTAACAGAGAAGAAAGAATGAAGGCAGTAGCCGATCTCGCCACCAACCTCTTAAACACCATCAATGAGGTTTTGAAACGAAATGCAAAGATATAACACCTAACGCCTCTCCCAGGAGAGGCGGGTCGCCCGTTCCACATGGCAGTATCACGGCATCCCGCGATAATGGAGCTTTCACGTCCACAATGGAAGAGGCGCCACCAGCTGTTGAACAATTACTTGAGGCGTGGCTGACAAACACGCTGACCAGCATCCTCGACAAGCCCACCCATGAGGCGGCTAGAGAAAACACAAGGACTTGCATCGCGCCAACAACGGTCGAGCAACACGGCCCTCTCACTCCAGTAACAGGTGCTCCTCTCAAAGTTAAAAATACAGGTGATGACACCCTCACGGCCAATGTGAGAAAAATGGAAGAAATGGAAAATGAAAACAAAATGCTTCCGGACCAAATGAGAGAGCACCAAGAGAGAGTTAACAAAGTATCGGGTGCCCCAAAACTCTAGCCGAAAAGAGATGTTGGTCGGTTCTTTGAACAGCCCTACAGTGATGAAGCTGCCCCACATGCCATACCCAAGACCTTCAAGATGCCGCCATATCTGAAGATATACGATGGTACGACCGACCCCGAGGATCATGTGACTCACTATGTCACTGCGGTAAATGGTAATGATCTCGCCAAAGAACAGGTATACTCCATCTTGTTGAAAAAGTTCGGCGAAACCCTCACCGGAGGAGCATTAACTTGGTACTCGCAACTGCTCACACACTCCATTGAAACATTCGAAGAGATGGCCGATAAGTTTGTAACAGCCCATGTTGGGGCCAAAAAGATGGAGCCAAGAGTGAACGATATATTTGCCATCAAACAATCGCCCGGAGAGGGGTTGAGGGACTTCCTCGCTCGTTTTATCCAAGTAAGGATGACCTTACGTAATGTATCAGAAGGCATGGATGTAGTTGCTTTCCAAAACGAGTTGAACAGGAACGGCTCGAGGGCGACAAGAAAATTATTAAGTCGGCTTATGAATATCTTCCAACCACTTGGGATGAAATACACAACGCCTATTGTGCCGAGGTCCATGCTGACGAAGACGGCCTGAATAGGGCAACCCATCGGTTGACCTCGGTACAGGCCAAATCCAGGAAGGATCAAAGAAATGATGCCAGGAAAGATCTTGCAGCTCCTCGACCCATCAGAGAAAGACATCAACCATATATCAGAAGCGCCATCATGCCCCTTCCCGCCATGAAGAGGGCTCATCTAGGCCGAGGACAGGGACTCACTGGAACGAGAGAGGTATGCCTCCCTTATTATCCACTCATAACTTTTATGTGTCACCCTCAGAAATAGTCTACGTACTGGAGAAGCTCGGACCAAAAGTGAAGTGGCCACAGAAGATGAGGTCAGACCCGAGCACCAAAAAGTCAAACGTCCTCTGTGAGTTACATCAAGAGCGAGGTCACAAAACTGAGGATTGCATCGCTCTAAGTCAGGAGATCGTAAATATGCTTCACCAAGGACACCACAAAGAATTGCTCAGTGACCGAGGGAGGACTAACTTCGCCCGAGGATGTGAACACCAGGGACCGCCGAAACCACCATCACAACCTCGCACCATTCAAATGATCATCGGAGGTGGCGACGATGCGTCAATCAACAGCGTAAAATTCACCACAACCCACAAACTCAAGCGGTCGATCACTCATGAACGGTATGGCGAACTCGAAGAAAGTATCATCTTCGATAAGTTATATACCCACGGTTTTGTTTTCCCTCACTATGATGCCCTTGTTATTACTTTATGATTATTAGATACAGATGTAAGACGCATTATGGTGGACGATGGGAGCGGCGCGTGCATTATCCACCCTCGAGTACTTGCACAGATAAAACTCGAGGATAAGGTAGTGCCACGCTGCATCATGCTAACAGGTTTTAACAATGTAGTTGAACAAATATCTAGAGAAATCACGCTTTCGGCCGTCCTGGCCGACACATCACCCTGGAAACCACATTCCACGTCAAGGATCAGGATATGGCGTATAATGCCATAATAGGATGACCCTGGATACATGCCATGAGGGCCATCCCCTCGAGATTATACCAAATTATCAAATTCGCAATCCCGTGGGGGAAATTAAGCATACGAGGAGAACAACGCACATCTCGAGATTGCTACCGCATCGCCCTAGACTGTAAGACTACCCAACAAATGAAGGGCAAAGAAAATGAGACATAGCAATTAACATGGTCGAGGTCGAGCTGTGATAAAAGGGAGAACGTCATCAGAGATCCCGAAATGGTGGAGGCCGCGAAATCAACCATAAAAGACCTCGATCCCGTGCAACTTGATGACAACGACCACAGCAAGAAAGCTTACATCGGGTGCAAGCTTCAAGAACCAGATAAATTTCGTCAATTCCTAACCACTAACGCGAAATTGTTCGCTTTTTCCCATGCAGATATGCCAGGTATCCCAAAGGAAATTGCCACACACAAATTGAACGTTGACGCGTTCCACCCCCCGATGAGACAGGGTAGACGAAAGTTCAACTCTACAAAAAATGATGTGGTCCGCGAGGAGGTTGAAAAATTATTGCAGAACGAGCTCCATCAGGGAATTAAAATACCCTCAATGGGTGGCCAATATGGTCATGGTGAAAAAAAAGAACGAAAAATGGTGGATGTGCGTAGAATTTACAGACTTAAACAAAGCATGCCCCAAAGATTCATTCCCGCTACCACATATCGACCAGCTCATTGACGCAACGGCCAGGCATGAACTGCTGAGCTTCTTAGATGCTTACTCGGGTTACAATCAGATCTTCATGGAAGAGGAATACCAAGAGAAGACTACTGATAATAGGTGAATTTGACTATAATCACACCTTAAATAATCACCTTCTTGTGTAGTTTTAATGCTAAAGGTGATAACAAAATGCTCTTATTAGTACTTTTCATGATTTGCAGGTGATATATGTATAAGGAAGGCTAAGGAGCAGTTTTGGAGTTAAAATTGATGAAAAAGAGGCCAACTGTGAAATTTCCCAAGTGAACCATGCAAAACAGGCCGAAGATTCAGAGCACTGGGTCCACCGCGGTTCCACCGCGACCGCGGCAGAACAGCGGTGGAAAGCAGCTGCAGAACTTCAGTGATTCCGCGAGGGTGTTTCGCCGCGGTTCTACTGCGACCACGGCAGAACCGCGGCAGGCGCAGAACTTCAGGGACCAAAGTGTCAATTACGGGATTTTTAGACCTAAACCCTATTTAAAACATTAGACTTCGCCCAAGAGAGGCATGTATTGATTTTTAAGGCTTCTTAGCAAGGAAAACCATTGTGAGAGAATACTCCAACCATCTTTCTTCTTTTCTTTTGATTTTTATGATGAATTCAATCTTAGTTTATTTTCCCATAGCCATG